CCTATTTTCTGCTAAGTGAACAGAGGCAATAGGTGTAAGAAGACTTGCTCATATCACTCGTCCCACCTGGGAATAGATTCGATGCACGGAGTGGTTTAGGCTCGATCCTCCGTTTGCTACGTAACTTGTGGCAGATGTAAAGAAACACGACTCTGATCACTGTCACGAGCAAGGCAGCGCTCTGATAGACTAGAGTCAATGTTTTTACTACAGTAATAATTTGTGAACGTAAACAGGTAGGAAAACAGGGGAAAAAGAAGTTCAGTGCCAACTGGGCGAGTGGTCGACCGTGAGCATCCTGAGTGTGGGGGTGTGGAGTAATGTGGGTATAGTGTATGTATGTGGTTATGGAGTGTGTGGGAGTGGAGTAATGTGAGTATATTGTATGTATGTGGTAATGGAGTGTGTGGGTGTGGAGTAATGTGGGTATATTATATGTATGTAGTAATGGAGTGTGTGGGAGTGGAGTAATGTGAGTATATTGTATGTATGTGGTAATGGAGTGTGTGGGTGTGGAGTAATGTGGGTATATTGTATGTATGGGGTTATGGAGTGTGTGGGAGTGGAGTAATGTGGGTATATTGTATGTATGTGGTTATGGAGTGTGTGGGAGTGGGTAATGTGGGTATATTGTATGTATGTGGTTATGGAGTGTGTGGGAGTGGAATAATGTATGTGTATGGTTATGGGGCAGATGTGGAGTGTGTGGATGGCTAATGGTGTATGGGTTGGAGTGGAGTGTTTGAGCGAATGAAATGTAAGGGTGACGAGTGATAGTGAAGTGACCATGGTAGTATACCTGGAGTATACCTGGAGAGGGTTTCGGGGATCAACGACCCCCGCGGCCCGGTCTGTGACCAGGCCTCATGGTGGATCAGGGCCTGATCAACCAGGCTGTTGCTGTTGGCCGCACGCAGCCCGACGTACGAACCACAGCCTGACTGGTCAGGTACTGACTTTAGGTGCCTGTCCAGCAGAGTGACCATGGTAATGGATTGACCGTGGTAGTGGGGTGAATGTAGTGGTAGTGGAGTGACTGTGACAGTGGAGTGAGTGTGGTGGTAATGGAGTGACAGTGGTAGCAGGGTGAGTATGGTGGTAGTGGAGTGACCGTGGTAGTGGGGTGAGTGTGGTGGTAGTGGGGTGAGTGTAGGGGTAGTGGGGGGGAGTAGGGCCCGGTAGTGGGGGGACCGTGGTAGGGGGGAGTATGGAAGGGGAAAAGTGCCCTTTTTTAAGGGGGTTTTAAGGTGGGGTTAGTGGAGTGACCGTGGTAGGGGGTTTGAGAGTGGGGCAGTGGGGGGGACCTTTGGAAATTTGGGGTAGTGTGGGGTAGTGGGGTGATCGTTGTAGGGGGTTGAGAGTGGGGGTTTAGGGGGGTAAACCGTGGAAAGTGGGGGGGGAGGGGGGTAGTGGGGGCCCGGGGTGGGGGGGTTGGGAGTGGTGGTAGTGGGTTGAAGTGGTGGTAGTGGGGTGGGGGGTGGTAGTGGGGGTGAGAGTGGGGGGTTTAGGGGGGTGACCTTGGAAGGGGTTTTTGACCGTTGTATGGGTGAGTGGGTGGAAATGGGTGATCCTGGTAGGGGGGGGCCCGGGGTAGTGGGGTTTGCCGTTGTAGTGGGGGGGGAGGGGGGTGGTAATGGATGATCCGGGTGTGGGTGCCCCGTGGTATTTGGGGGTGCCCTTTGGTAGTGGGGGAGTGGGGTTAAAATTTGTGTATGGGGTGACCGTGGTAGTGGGGTGCCCGTGGTAGTGGGGGGGCCGTGGTAGTGGGGGGGCCGTGTAGGGGGGGTTTGGGGGAAGGTGTGTTAGGGGGGTTTGCCCTGGTAGGGGGGTGCCGTGGGGGGTGGGGTTTTGGGGACCGTGGTAGGGGGGTGAGTGTGGTTTAACGGAAGGGATTCCGTGGTTAGGGGGTTTGGGTGACCGTTTGGGTATTTGGGGGAAGGGAAACCGGTAGTGGGGGGGGGGGGAACCGTGGTAGTGGGTTTCCGTGGTAGTGGGGTGACCGGGGTAAGGGGTGAGTGGGGGTAAGGGAGTGATCTTTGGTAGTGGGGTAAACCGTGGTGGGGGGTGACCGGGGTGTGGGGTGACCGTGGTAAGGGGGTGGGGGGAGGGGGTGGGTTTAAAATGGAAGATCGGGTAGTGGGGTGACCGGGTTTGGGGGAATGACCGTGGTAGTGGGGTGAGGGGGGTTTAATGGGGTGATGGGGTTTGGGTAATGGAAGGGGGATCGGGGGAGGGGGGTTTGACCGTTAGGGGTAGTGGGGTTTTTGGAATGGGTGGGGGGTGGGGAGGGGACCGTGGTAGTGGGTGCCCCGTGTGGGGGGGGTGAGTGTGGTGGAAAGGGAAATGATCGGGGGGGATTTAGGGGGGTGACCGGTGGGGTAGTTGGGTGACCGTGGTAGTGGGGTGAGTGTGGTAAAAAAGGTACGGGGTTGGGGGTTTCCGGTGGGGTAAACCCGGGTTTGTGGGATGCCGTGGTAGTGGGGGGGGTGGGGGGGGGGGAACCTTGGTAGGGGGAGGGCCGTGGTAGGGGGTAAACCGTGGTAGGGGGTGAGTGTGGTGGAAATGGAGTGATCGGGGGTTAGTGGGGGGGGAATTTTGGGGTTGTGGGGGGGGTTGCCTTTGGTAGTGGGGGGGGCCCGGGGTTTTGGGGGGTGAGTGGGGTTTAATTTGGATGACCCGTGGTTTTTGGGTGACCGTGGGTTAGGGGGTGACCGGGTGGGGGGTGCCCCGGGGGTATGGGGTGAGGGGGGGAATGGGGTGACCGGTTAAGGGGGGTGACGTGGTAAGTGGGGTGCCCCTGGTAGTGGGGTGACCGTGGTATGTGGGGGGTTGGGGTGTGGTGGTAAGGGATTTTTTTTCGGGGTAGGGGGTGACCGTGATAGTAGAGTTTGGTATTTGAAGGGTTTTTTTAAGGGTTTTACACATTTGAAAGAAAACAATGAAAAGCGTACGGGAAGGGCACTGAAAAGTTAAAAGCCAATTTAAAAAGCAGTCCCCTTTTATCGCCCCCGGAAAACCCAATAATTTTTTCCATTGTATATTGATTTTAAAAAACCTTACTTTGGGCCCATTTTAAGGGGCACGAAATTTTTCCCCCGTTTTCCTATTAACTTTGCTCAAAACCTCTGCAGCAAAATTTGGTCCTCGGGAGGTTTGTTAAGTTATACCAGGGAATTTAAAGGGAAAGACCCTAAATTTTCATTTTACAAAACAAAACAAAGAAAATGCAAATATTTAAAAGGGACAAGGTAGATTATAGGGAAAAATTAACTGTTATTAAAAGGCAACTTACGTGCCCTTAAACAGTTTAAATTTATTTTTATCCTGACTTTGAGTTAGATGCATCAGATTTTTAAGTCTTAAGCCGTTCAAAAGAGGTTTTAGGGTTTTCCTACACGAAAAACTAAAATCATCATTTGGTCAAAAATTGGCAAAAGAGTACCTGCATATTTTATTAACAATATCAAACCTTCCCGAAAATTTGAAACCGAGGGAGAGAGAAAAAAAAAAGGCGTTCTCAAGTTATTTTCCGGGAAACCCGAAGGGGAAATGGGGATACGTTTCGCGCGCGAAACGCCCCCCCCCCCCCAAAAAACACACACATAAAAAAAACACACACAACACACATCTAGGCTGTGGGGGAAAAAGCACCCTTTTAGAAAACCCAAAAAGTTAGCAACAGGGACAGTACCGTACAGACAAAGGTTTTTGTATTTATACTGACAGCAAGCAGGTACGTCGACCTTTTAAAACGGGCATCCCGGGAAACCCCCCTGGGATTGCCAGGGCAGAAAAGGGAGCATGATTCACTTTTAAGAAAGGGGGATAGGGAAAAAACCCTTTGCTAGAAGAAGAATACGTTGTTTCCCGGTAATAAAAGTAGTGTAAGTAAAAAAATTGTAGTAATGGTAGGTGAACTAGTTTTGTTAAAAAAGACTGTAAAAGGTAAACCCATTAGTTAAAAAAAATTTATCATGTTTAAAAGGTAAAATAGTCAGTTATAAAAAAGTAAGATAGGCAAAAAAGTTAGAAGGAAGAAAGGGGTAGGTTTAAATAGTTTGTTTTAAAAAAAAAAAGGAAAAAAAAAAACCTTTTAAAATAATCAGCACTGAAAACATTTGGGAAACCCCTACCCCAGCTAGTTTCATTTAAGGGCCTTAAAAAATTTTTTATGAAGATTTTGAAGAGAAAAGGCGGGCGTTTATTGTAATTTTATAAGGGGCAGGTATCCTGTAGGACACGTAAAGGGAAAAATGTAGGGGTAGGGGCAAATTAAAACTTTTCATACCTCTAATTGAAACCTATGTGGAGGGGCGTTTGCAAAATAATAAATTTCGGCTTAAAAAAATAGAGGAAAAATTAAAAACCCGTTTTTTAACACTTTTTCAAAAAGTTACCCCCGCTGGGGCCCTTTTTCAACACACCACCCAAAAAAATAAAAGCAAAAAATAGATCAAAGATTTACAGTTTCCAGTCCCTTTTGTAAAAAAATGAAATCGCGGGCAACGGAGGATAGCGTTTTTAAAAGTTAGTCTAATCCCAAACTAGGCTGTTTTTTTTTTTTATTTTTTTCAAAAAAAAAAAAAAAACACTAAAATCTAAAGCAACCCTTTTATCCAATTAAATTTTTTACTAAAATCAAAAATTTTGCAGAAAATCAGCCCAGCGCTTTAGGGGGAGGGGGGGGCTCCGTTATTTGAAGTTATGTTCCCCGGGGTGGCCGGGAAAAACTGACCTTTCACCCGGGGCCCGTCCCTTTCCCATCCCCCCCCTTAACACAACACGGGAAAATTTCATAGAACCCGAAATAAAAAATTTGGTAATGTTTTTTGGAACGACAATTATTTTTCAGTTCAGATTTTTAAAGAGACATTTCAAAATGCACAGCTGCTACGAAAGGTATGTATGTATATATCATATTTCGGACACATAAACTCGAAGTAGCGTCAGAAAATGTCAAGGATAAGGAGAGAGGAGGGAGGCAGTCACTAGACACTCACAGGAGACCACATGTCTGACGTGTTGGCCGGGGCAGCGGGCACTGAACGTGATGATGGCGACGGCACTGTATATATACCCGGGCGGCAGGCCCCACTGCCTTCACTTCCCTACACGGCCGTCGCCGCTGCTGCTGCACCACAGCTGATTTTCCTGGACACTTCGCATCGTCGCTCAGCTGCTGACTCAAGGTAAACACAGCTCCAGCAACACTAATTATCCTCTGCTGCAAGATTGTTTATTACTGGAATTTAAATAAAGACAATGCACGCCTGTTACTCTTTTTTTTTTTCCAAAGAGTTTTTCGCCTCCACCTATCATGAGTCTTGTACACTGACAGTGTCCTGCAAAATAAGTGTGTCCTGCACCATATGAAAGCCTCCCTTCAAAGAGCGTTCCTTAATGATGAAAGGCTCGTAACTCAAGGAATTGGAACTACTCTCTCCTGTTTTGGATAAAATCTCGTCACCTCATTCACTGGCCCAGTATGAACCCTTCAGTTTTGGCGTTTCCCCATGAATAAAATACTACTAGTATTACTACTGCTACTAATAGTAGTAGTACTACTACTAGAAATTATAATAATATTAAACGAGGACAGTTTTGGAAAAGGACACTTGTGTACAGTTCAGAACATTTATTAAAGGATAAGTTTCGTCATGAAAGGCTTCATCAGTCTTAGTAAATGTATTGAACTGTACACATCCTCATATCAAACATACAGGAATGTAAACCATAGCACATGTCTTCTTTTGCAGAAGAAACTAGAATCTGCAAGAGAGTGTCATCTGTTGAGGACAAAATAAATCTCCAAGCTAATTTAAATCAAGTTTTCCAGTGGGCTGCGACAAACAATATGATCTTCAATGAAGACAAATTTCAGTTACTCCATTATGGAAAAATTGAGGAAATAATAGCTATAACGGAGTATACTTCAAACACTAATCACACAATTAAGCAAAAAACTAATGTAATTGACTTGGAAGTGTTAATGTCAGAGGATCTCCCCTTAAAAGGATAAACAATAGTTTTCACTATCACATTTTGGAGGAAATATGATAGGAGGGAAAAATTTGGGGGATTTTTTAAAACATGGGATTTTCATCCCAAATGATGATCTTTTTTAAGTCATTTGTTCTCGGGGCCTGGAATACGGGCTGTTACGAAACCCACCTACATTTATTACAGACCCCTAGAAAATGCACTGAGGACCTTCATGGTCGGGGTTAGTTCAGTAAAAACCCCCTTAATTACTGGGAACAAATTCAAGCCCCTTTGGACCTGAAACACAAACAAGAAAAAATACATACTCTAACCGGGAAAATCCTGGCGAATTTCCCCCAAAATTGCACCCCAGGGGACAACCCCTACAAAAGCAAAAACTATGCAGAAAGGGTGCAACAGATCACCCCCACACAATAAAAAGCAGGGCCCCAGGGGTTATACTAAAGAAAATCCCAATAAGTGTCCGGGGCAAAAGACTTCAACCCCTCCCACCATGCAAAAGGGGGGATTAAAATTATTTAAATTGGCTCCCCTTCCCAAGGGGGGAAGTGGCCAATTACGTACAGTAAAGAACTTGACCCCCCCCGGGTGTGGTTCTTTACGTTGGATTTACGTGCGGCCGGCAGTAACAGCCGGTTGATAAACCCTGATCCACCAGGGGGCCCTGGTAAAGGCCCTTGGCCCCCCGGGGGGCGTTAAACCTCCGGAAAAAACTCCAGGTTGACTAAAAGGGGGAGTTCCTTTTCCAGTTTGCCCTTTTGCACCATAGCGTTTCCCTCTGGAAAACTTTGCACTGGGGGAGAAAATCTGACAAACCCCCTTATCTTTCTTTTTCCCCCTTTGCACAATAAACCCACATACTGACTTGCTTATGTTTTGTTCATTTCTGCTGCTTTTTTTAACGCGTAATTTCTTTTAAAATTGTAGGTTTTTCAGATATGAAATTAACCCGCTCCCGCCCCTTTTTTAAAAAAAGGACTCAATTTTCTTTTTTGCATCGAGTGTAAAATTTATATGACAATTTAAAACAACAACCAAAAAACAAAAAACTGCAACAAAAAAAAACTATACAATAGGCAATGGAAAAAATACAACGAAACTGAGATTAAAATATGCAGGAACAAAATTTGGTTTTTTTTAATACGAATCTACATATCCAGAAAAAAAAGTTTATTTTGTCCAAAATACATAATTTAAATTGCAAAATTCCCGCAATTATAACACCTTTGGGTTTTAAAATTTAAAAAAACAGTACCAACAATACCACCAGTCCGATAACATTCTTCTTGGCAAATATACAGGGTCTAAAGCACAACAAACAACAAATACCTCTCATCCGTGGACTGCTGCAGAGGCAAAGGCAATGTTCGCGGCTTTCACTTAGACCCACATAAAGGATCACTTGGACAACGAAATATGGATCCCAGGTTACAACCTATACAGATGTGACAGAGTGAACAGGCAAAAGGGGGGGGGGGTTGGCCTGTACATTGCAGAGTCACTTGTTTGCACAGAACTGCTAAATGCCTCAAATGATGTAGTGGAAGTTTTAGCAGTAAAGGTCGAGAACCAAAACCTAGTCATTGTGGTAGTCTACAAGCCTCCGGATGCAACATCCCAGCAATTCCAGGAAACAGCTGTTAAAAATTGACCACTGTCTGGAAAATCTTCCAGCTCCTGCACCCAACATCTTGCTCCTGGGGGATTTCAACTTAAGGCACCTAAAATGGAGGAATATAGCAAATAATATTGTTGCAGTAATAACACCAGGAGGCAGCTCTGATGAAAACTCACACTCACGCGAGCTTTTAAATCTCTGCACAAAATTCAATTAAACCAGCAAATAATAGAGCCTACTAGACTGGAGAATACACTAGACCTCATCTTCACTAACAATGATGAATCTGATAAGAAATGTCACCAAATTCAAAAACAATATACTCAGATCACAATATAATTGAGGTTCAGTCATGTATGCGCGGAGCCCCAGACCGACATAATGAATTAGTCACGAGGGAGCATTCACCAAATTCAACTTCAATAACAAAAACATAAAGTGGACCAAGTAAACCAAGTCCTAACCGATATAAGCTGGGAAGATATACTAAGCAACACAGACCCCAACTTATGCCTAGAACAGATTAACTCGGTGGCACTCGATGTATGCACAAGGCTTATTCCTCTAAGAAAAAGGAGGAGTAGATGTAAAATAGAAAGAGACAAGCGCTCCCTTTACAGGCGACGGAAAAGAATAACAGAGCGGCTAAAAGAGGTCAATATATCTGAAATGCGTAGGGAGACACTGGTCAGAGAAATAGCAAGCATCGAACTTAAGCTAAAAGAATCCTTTAGGAGTAGGAATCGCGGGAAGAACTAAAAGCCATAAATGAAATCGAAAGAAACCCGAAGTATTTCTTCTCCTATGCCAAATCAAAATCGAGAACAACGTCCAGTATTGGGCCCCTACTTAAACAAGATGGGTCCTACACAGATGACAGCAAGGAAATGAGTGAGCTACTCAAGTCCCAATATGACTCAGTTTTTAGCAAGCCGCTAACCAGACTGAGAGTCGAAGATCAAAATGAATTTTTTATGAGAGAGCCACAAAATTCGATTAACACAAGCCTATCCGATGTTATCCTGACGCCAAATGACTTCGAACAGGCGATAAATGACATGCCCATGCACTCTGCCCCAGGGCCAGACTCATGGAACTCTGTGTTCATCAAGAACTGCAAGAAGCCCCTATCACGAGCCTTTTCCATCCTATGGAGAGGGAGCATGGACACGGGGTCGTCCCACAGTTACTAAAAACAACAGACATAGCCCCACTCCACAAAGGGGGCAGTAAAGCAACAGCAAAGAACTACAGACCAATAGCACTAACATCCCATATCATAAAAATCTTTGAAAGGGTCCTAAGAAGCAAGATCACCACCCATCTAGAAACCCATCAGTTACACAACCCAGGGCAACATGGGTTTAGAACAGGTCGCTCCTGTCTGTCTCAACTATTGGATCACTACGACAAGGTCCTAAATGCACTAGAAGACAAAAAGAATGCAGATGTAATATATACAGACTTTGCAAAAGCCTTCGACAAGTGTGACCATGGCGTAATAGCGCACAAAATGCGTGCTGAAGGAATAACAGGAAAAGTCGGTCGATGGATCTATAATTTCCTCACTAACAGAAACACAGAGAGTAGTCGTCAACAGAGTAAAGTCCGAGGCAGCTACGGTGAAAAGCTCTGTTTCCACAAGGCACAGTACTCGCTCCCATCTTGTTCCTCATCCTCATATCCGACATAGACAAGGATGTTAGCCACAGCACCGTGTCTTCCTTGCAGATGACACCCGAATCTGCATGACAGTGTCTTCCATTGCAGACACTGCAAGGCTCCAGGCGGACATCAACCAAATCTTTCAGTGGGCTGCAGAAAACAATATGAAGTTCAACGATGAGAAATTTCAATTACTCAGATATGGTAAACATGAGGAAATTAAATCTTCATCAGAGTACAAAACAAATTCTGGCCACAAAATAGAGCGAAAAACCAAAAGTCAAAGACCTGGGAGTGATCATGTCGGAGGATCTCACCTTCAAGGACCATAACATTGTATCAATCGCATCTGCTAGAAAAATGACAGGATGGATAATGAGAACCTTCAAAACTAGGGAGCCAAGCCCCTGATGACACTCTTCAGGTCACTTGTTCTATCTAGGCTGGAATATTGCTGCACACTAACAGCACCTTTCAAGGCAGGTGAAATTGCCGACCTAGAAAATGTACAGAGAACTTTCACGGCGCGCATAACGGAGATAAAACACCTCAATTATTGGGGGCGCTTGAGGTTCCCAAACCTGTATTCCCTGGAACGCAGGAGGGAGAGATACATGATTATATACACCTGGAAAATCCTAGAGGGACTAGTACCGAACTTGCACACGAAAATCACTCACTACGAAAGCAAAAGACTTGACAGACGATGCACCATCCCCCCAATGAAAAGCAGGGGTGTCACTAGCACGTTAAGAGACCATACAATAAGTGTCAGGGGCCCGAGACTGTTCAACTGCCTCCCAGCACACATAAGGGGGATTACCAACAGACCCCTGGCAG